TGGGCAGCATTTGAGTGGCAAGAATAGGGGCCTGGGAGAGGATGGAAGGTCGGAGAGAGCTACGGTACAGGAGACCTGTCAGCAGGTAACGCGTCGGGAAAAGAAAGGAAGAAGAGGGGGCAGGTAGAAGAGGAAGGGGTTTTTATGATTCGCTACCGCTAGCAGAGCTTGTCCTTCAGACCACTGATTCTCTACCTCTTTGTAGAGGCGTGGGGATGAGGGAATTGCCTTTCTTTTTTCTGTTAATTGAAATGTCTTCCCACACACATCCCCCAAAAAACTATCAGCTCCAGATAGTGAAGACCCCAGAATTTCTAGGGTTTAGGAAGAAGCGTGTGGTTAGAAGGAAGGTTTATCGTGTTTCTATGGTGCTTCCTATAAGCTTGAGAAAATGTCAATTTTCATCATTAATAAAGGGAGGGGTGTCTGTTATCGGATAAGCAGCCTCTTCAGTTCCTTGGCGCAGCCGCAGGCTCCTGGGCTGGAGGCCTCGTCTAATATGTCCTCGGGCCACGCGCGTCCCAATTCTCCCTTGAGGTGCTTCTCCCTCTACACCCCACGCCGGGGGCAGGCTACAATTACCCACAGAACAAAGAGGGGCTCGGGAGCGCCGCCAGTCTTGGTGGCACCGGAACTGGGCACTGGCGGCGGAGCTGAACAGAGCAGGGTCGGGGAAACGCGAGGCCTGCGCGCCTTTTGTCTTTCCGCTCTGGCCTTGATGAATACCCTTTCCACTCCTCCCTGCATTTCCCGCCCCCTTTTTGCTGCCCGGCGTGGCTCCGCGGCGGTTCACACATCCTTGAGTCCTTTCGCTCTTGGTCCTGCGCTACCACTTTCCGCCGCCCGCTCGCCGCGGGCTGTAATATGCCTAGCCGCTGGTAGAAGACCCCGCCGAGGCGCTGACCCGAGTCCGCACGTGGCTGGGCGTGCCTAGGAACAGCCGAGGCGGAAGGAAGAGAACCGAGGGCCCAGCCCAAGAAGGGCAGGCAGCTCCTGTCCCAGGGATCACCCTCACATGCCCCCTAATAGCCCAGCTCGGGCGTCTGCACAGTAGATTGCGAGCGTATGCCCAGCTCTTCAGCCTTTCTCACCCTCCCTGCTGACACACCTTCTCCTGCCCAGCAAAGGCTCCTGGGGACGGCCTTGCTCAGCCCGCACAACCTTACTTGGCCTCTTGGTCCAGCTACCTTCTAGCTCCGGGATGGAGCCCTTCTGCCCTCCGCACCTCAGTCTTCTGGACTTTCAGGACATCATAGAAGATTTCTGTCTACCTCTCCCCTTTCTCCCTTTCCCTCTTTTTTGCTGTAACCCCCAATTCTGAAAGGCAGTGCATTGTGTATGGACTCCAACCTCCCAACTGAGTGACCTTGGAAAACTTAGTTACCCTCTCTGAACCTCAATGTTGTTATTTGTAAACTAGGTCTTAGATTAACACTCCTCCTACCTGTTTCTAAGGGTTGTTATGAGGATTAGCTGAAGTAGTGTTTAAAGCAAACGCATTTTATCTAGTGAAAATAGGTCAATACCCGTCAGGTATTATTATTAGGGTTTTGCTTTTGCACCGATTTTCTGTCTGTCGTAGAAACCCCATCTGTGACATGCTGTCCACGGACGTCAGGCTGCTTCCTCTCCCCGCTGGGGCTCTGTTGTGTCTCGGATTTAATGGATGTCATTCTCCTTATCGCAGCTAACACTCGCGCCGGGCTGGAAAGGCGAGGGCCGGGGTGAGGGTGGGGGATGGGAGTGATTAGGGGCAATGTGTTTTGAGACACTAGAAGGGGGTTTAGCGCTGGGCCCACCGGACCAGCCCGGATGCCGGCTTCCTAAACTTGCGGCTGCTTTCCTCGCTCACTGCTGGAAGTTAACACCGTAGGCAGGTAGACCCTGAGAACAGCGTTGTAAACAAGGAAAATCCAGCAGCCCCTGGGTCCGCGCACAGCTCTGCCCTAGAGGACAGGTACCTGCTTCTCTTTGACTGCTCCAGACCTGAGAAAGGAAGGGTTAATGAGGGGCAGGGATGAGGACGGGAGGTTCACTATTGTCTTCCAGACTCCAGGTCTCGAAGGGCAGCCAGGCGAGCCCGATCATCTAGTCAAATACTATTTTTCACCCAATTAATTCCTGAACTCTTCCGCGACCCCATTTCATGCCAGTTTATTTTAAGCTGCCACTCGACTGGAGACCCGCCAAGAAATTATGAGACGGGTTGGTCCCAGATGCCTCTGTGTTCCCTTTCCGGGCTGCTGCAGTAGCCCTTCGAGTCTGGGGGGCCAAAAGCAGGGGGTCGGATCTAGTGGGTGGGTGCAGGGAGCCGGCGGGCTGAGTCTTTTCTGCGCGGAGTCGGCCCCGCCCCTCACGACCCGTTCTCCTTAACTGCCTCGCAGGAGCTCTTGGGGGCCCGTTGAGGCGCTAGGTGCACCGCCTCAAAGAAACACCGTCAGTACCTGTGGGCAGGAGGGAGGGTGATGATGGGTGCTCAGAGGGCACGCGTCTGCTCACTTGCCCTAAATCTGTTCCATGCCCCTTTCAGAAAGGAGCTTTTAAGGAGTAGTTACCCCAAGAAAGCCTTTGCCGTCGACCTTCCTCCCCCCACCCCCACTCCCCACCCCAGGGTCGGAGCTGCACTGACCGCACCTCTCTCGCTTTCTTTCTAGCGTATGACACCTGGTGCGGCGTGGCCCATGGATGCACCAGAAAACTGGGGCTCAAGATCTGCGGTAAGGGAAAGAGAGCTGGCAGGGCGCGTAGGCTTTGTCTGTGTGGAGAGTGGGACTTCCGTGGATTCTGGCTCTCCGGTCTGGTTTACTAACGTACCCGCAGACCGGAGTATAGATGATCCTACCAGAGGCGCCCATTCGAGGGACCACCGGGTGCCTGGACAGGGCATGAGTGCGCGATGACAGCGCCCCCGTGAAGCAGCCCAGCTCTCCCTGCTGGGTGCCTGGGCCACCCTGGCGGATGCCCTCCGCCCATGTCTCCAAGGCCTAATGAAAAACGTGAGCTGTTCTGGTCTTCCTGGAGAGCAGGCCAGGGCGCCTCATGACCTGTCTCCTATTTTCCCTTCCGCCACTTCATCCCTCTTCTGTTGTCCTCCTCCTATCCCTGGCACATTGAAAGTGACCTCCTGGACTCAAGGTTTTTGCCCTGAGATTTCATAACGGATTCAGAATTCGTTTTGGGAAGCCTCAGAGGCAAAGGAAAAAGATTGCCTATAGTCCTCGGTGGCCTTCCTGGGGGAGGTGGTGAGGGTGAAAGCCGGAGAATTTGCCAGGCGTTCTCTGCAGGCCAAGAGAGGAGAAAGAGCGCGGGCAGGGGCTTGAGGCCCCGCGTCAGGCACGATTTGCCAAGGAGGGAGGAAAGTAGATCTGGAGAGCTGGAGAGGAGAAAAGCCTGCTCTCCGGAGACTTGAGAGTCTGGAATGTAAATGCCCAGGGGATTAAAAAAAAAAAAAAAAGGAAAGAAAGGAGATTTGTTCAAAGGGATACAGCTGAATGTCTCCGGCTGAACAATGAAGAGTAGGTTTCTTTGCTACAATTCACAGTCTAAAATTCTCTAGCTTTATCAGGCCAGAAAATACGGATGTCCCCGGGCAGGGGGTGGAGAGGCGGGGAAAGATTAACAACAGGCTTATTAAGGAGCCATTCGTCAGCCCCTGCACGTGGGAGATAGTGGCGGAGCGGGCGCCTGGCGCTTACGGAAGGGCTCCTTTGGCCAAGTTCGCGCCCCAGCCTCGTGCGCGCCTGCGGGCGGGTCAGCGAGTGGGTGCTCTCCCGTCCTGAGCTTCCCATCTTCTGGGGGCGGGTCCCGGGACCCCGAGGGTGGCGGCACAGTGAGGCCTGAACGGAGAAGGGGTCATTGAGCAGCCCCGGGAATCATCCCTCTGGCCTGCTTTTCTTCATTTCTGGGGCTTTGTCCTCTTGATCCCGGAACCAGCATTCACGTTGAGGATGGGGAGCTCACCTCTCAGGCTTAGCCAGGTTTCTGGGAAAGCCCTAGCCTCGCCTCGAGACGGCCCCGGGGTTTGGCCCTCGCCCCAGCTTGGGTGGCCTACGGGGCAAGGGCCCGGGACCCTGTCCCCGCTGGGGCAGCTGGCTGCTGCAGAGCTTTGTTCTATAAATAGCCCACTCCCCCAGCCTCTATTCCGGGCTTAATGGCCCGTTTCGCGCCAGGTCCCTTCGGCGGTCGCGGTGCCCGGCTTCTGCAGCCATCATTGTCAGGCAGCTGGGCAAGCAGAACCGAGCCCTGGGCGCCCGCCGAGGACCCGGGCGGCGGCGGCGGGCGGGGAAGGGCGGTTATCCCGGAGAGGCTCGAGGTGAGGGCTGCATGACCAGCTGCGGGGCAAGCTGTCAGAGGTGCAGGGTCGGGCTTGCCTACTGGGGACAGCGCTCGTCCATCTCTGCCTCCTGGCCTCGGGGCTACCTGCGCTCCGGGTCCCGGGGAAGGAAAGAGCTTAGCACCCCTTCAGGGTGTGCTACCACACCCCTGAATACCACATATTCTAAAAGAAAAGACGAGCTTCGCTGGCTCCTGGAATAGGGCGCCTCAGGAACTGGCATTCACTTCCCATCCCTCTGACTCTTGGGCATTTGTAGGCTACTGTCCTCAGAGAGGTTCCCCCCCCCCTCTGTTTCTTTTCCCCACCCTTCCAAACCAAACCAAACCCCTGCCATCGAGTGGATTCCGACTCATAGCCGACCTCCATTGGGTTTCCCAGGCGGTAAATCTTTACAGAAGTATATTGTCCGGTGTTGTGGTAGCGTAGTGCCTAAGGCACTTGACTGCTAACCAGAAGGCTGGCGGTTCAAACCCACCAGCCACTCCTCAGAAGGAAGATTGGGCAATCTACTTCCGTAGAGATAACGCCTCGGAAATCGAAGGAGGGGTCGCTATGAGTCGGAAACGACTCGACCGCCGACCGCCGGGCCGGGAGTGAGTTTCTTCCGTGGAGTGGCTGGTGGGTTTGAACTGCCAATCTTCTGGTTAACAGTCAAATGCCTTAGGCACTGAAGGAAAGTTGCAACCTTTGGGAGAGAAGGAGAGAGCAGGGTAGGCTGTTGGAGGAAATTAACTTTGGTTAAAGTGTGGGACCAAGTTAGGAAGCTTCACCTTAGGTTTGATTCTGAAAGGACAGGGATGGCATACTTTTCCATACTTTGAGTCAACTCTGACAATACATTTTAACTAGTGGAGGCAGGGTGCAGTTCACAGCTTTAACCCTGGATCCACAGCCCACTGCCCTCCACCCATAACCACCTTTTTCTCCTCCCAAGACCTTCGAGGGCCTAGAGGATGCCCTCATGATCTATACCACAGGGGTTGTTTGACCTTTCACCTTAAGAACCAGAGGGACTGTCTTCCCACCTCCAAACCCGTTGTCATGGGCAACCCCCATAAGCATCCTCAGTACCCTTCCAAGAGCCAATCCTCTACTGCTCCCTCCACTAAATAAAATAAAATAAAATAAAAAAGCCAAGAAATTAAGAATGCTAGAAAGTCTCCGGGTTCCACCAGTGGTGCCCTTAGCTCTGGAGGCACATTGCCCCTGGGTGAGTAATCAGCTAGAAGAAACCCAGGGGCTTGCCAAGAGTTGGAGAGAGGTGAGAGGCGGGGAGCACAGCCATGGTGACCTAAATAGAATGAGACACTGGGAGCCCTAAGTATGGCCCTGGGCTCTGCTAACTTCTTAGTGTGTCTTTGGCCCTCGCTCATTTATATATGCAAAGGTTCTAAACTGGCTGCCGATTACAGCCCTAAGCTGTTTTACTTAGCCCGTGAAGTGTGTGCGTGTTTAAATTTTTGTATTTGTTGCCAACTTTTAAAAATAGAGAGGCTTCAAGTATGTGTGTGCGTGTTTAAATTTTTGTATTTGTTGCCAACTTTTAAAAATAGAGAGGCTTCAAGTATTTTGTATTGCTGATTATTCTTTAAAAAAAGGGAAGGGAGGATAATCTGGCTGGGTGCTCTTAGCCCATAAAAATCAGAAACAGTCCCTCCACAGGCACAGGCTGCTCTGTGTCAGGGCACATGACACCTTTGGCTGTGCCCTTGTGCCCTGCACAACTAGAGGTTCTACATGGAAACAGCTGGCTGCAGCGGAGTGCTAGCTGCTTCCTTTAGGTAGGCACGTGCTCTTCCCACCACTCACTGGGCCCTTTAGGACTTAGCGTTGGGGCGTTGGGGCATAGGGGTGAGGAACCAACATCAGAAGCTCCCCTTGGCCTAGAGGTGTGGTCATTACAGGGCTTTCCTCCTATTGTCCCTTGAAGCCAGGCAGCATGCTATGAATTAACCAAACACTGTTGCAGCTTTGGGTTCCCTCTGCCTCCCTCTTTGCCTCTAAGGATATCCAACTCCGTTAACCACAGCCAGAGCCAGAGAGAGTACAGTTTGCTTCAGTCTCCGGACCCCCTGCTTCTACCCCATGGGAGTCAGAGAAGTTGTCAAACACTGACCCCAAGGTCATCAACCACCTCTCCATCCTTGGAGAAGTACCTGGTTCCTTCCAGGCTTCTCAGACCCCAAGAGGCACGGGTCATATATGTTTTGTGAGGTTCCCAGTAATTTAGAAAATAAACACCGTTCCAAAACAGGATGAAAGAAATGACAATATACATGAAACATTTACTTGAAAAAATTAATAGTTTTTTTTGTTTTGTTTTGTTTTTAACATAAATTGTAATGCGAAGTCAGGAGCTCTGGTAGCGTAGTGCCTAAGGTACTTGACTGCTAACCAGAAGGCTGGTGGTTCAAACCCACCAGCTTACTCCCTGGAAGGAAGGTTGGGCGATCTACTTCTGTAGTGATACCACCTCAGAAACCCAAGGAGGAGCCGCTATGAGTCAGGTCTGACTTGACAGCACATAACAACAACAACAATGCGAAGTCATTAATATTTTCTATAAATCTCTGTAATATAATTACAGAGATTTATAGAAAATATTAATTCCCAGCACACTGCAGAAAGTGTGGTCCAGAATGAGATGCAGGTTTAAAGTTGTGTAATAATTGTCATTGTTTAACTCTATCAGGACAGCTCTGGGTTGCCTATGTCAAAACCTTTGAAGATGATATCCAAATCCAACATCCTGGTCCCTGCAGCTGCCCATAGGAAAAAGTTGCTAAAGCTCAAGGGAAAATTAAGATTTTCCCAGAGGAGTGAGTCAGAACCCCAACTAGAGGACAGAGACTAGAGAGTAGGACTCCAATAGGCAAGACCTCACCTCCATGAGGCCTCTTGGGTTTGGTCTTTCCAGCCTAGTAAAGTCCACAACTCACTGTTGGAAGACCAGGAGATCAGTCTTAGAACTCAGGAGCCAGACTGATGTTCCTGCATCCCTCCGTATGCCACTTCATTCACTGCAAAAGAGTACTGCCTCCTGGTTCTGGAATCTGGGAATTTGGAGGATGAATTCAGAAAGTGGAAGAATCCAGATCCCATCAACATTCTTTAGGGATATGGAAAAAATGATCACTAACTTTATATGGAAAGGAA